ATAATTTTTTTTTATATATATAAACACTATATTATTTTAGTTTTATATTATTAAGTGTCTTTACTATGCACTAACATTTAAATTAATGATAGCCTTTGTTCATTCACTTTTTTTCAGAGAGAGGTGGAGATACTGATGTTCTTAAGCGCTATAGTCATGATGAAGAACAGAAGAGCAAGTAAGAGTTTCTCCCTCCTAAAACACTCTTTTCCATCTTTGTGCATTATTTTCTTTACAGCATTCTTTATTGACATTGAAACGTCAGCAAATAATCCCCATCCGTACTGAATCTGATGTCAGTTTGCTAAGGTTGAATTTGAAGGTTTTGTTTATACACTAAACATTTGGGCACCTGTGAGTCTTTGTGCTCTCAGTGACAGTTGTCATTGTGTTTGTTGTTAATCAGTTTCCTTTGTCATTCAATGTTTACCCTCTCTCTCCCCCTCCTCCAGCTTTGCTGTTCAACTCGACCTCTTTGCGTGTGCATTTTTGTATCACAAAAGCAATGCAATATGAAAATATGTTTGTTTTTTTATATCTTTGCTCCCCAGTTACCATTGAGCAGCACTTGGGGAACATCATCCTCTTTAGTAAAGTAGCCAATGTGATTCTGTTCTTCAGACTGGACATACGTTTGGGGCTTCTCTACTTGACGTTGTGTATTGGTCAGTATTTTTTATCTTTCACAAGATTGCAAACAGTCACTGGAGTCCTCTTCCTTTGAAAGAACTGTAGACTAAAACCAAATATTAGGGAAATGTAGTTCAGGTTTATTATTGTTAACTGAATCTAAAAAAAATAAACATTATCTGAAATAAAATATAAAAAACTTTTTACTTATTTTATTTCAGCTAGTTGCCAAGGCAGCACTTCTCATTTTTGTTTAGTTAAAATACTAAAATAAATACAATAATAACATAATAATAATAAAACAATAAAAAAAAAAGAAATAAAAATGACTATAAAATTACGAAAACTTGAACTAAATTTAAAATGAAAACAGAAAATATACAAATAAAATCTAATTAAAATATGAACAAAAACTATAATAGTATATCATTGATCCTAAAATAACACTGATGTGTTATGGTGGCTGTTAATATTCTCTTATCATCGATTTAGTTTTCCTGATGACCTGCAAACCTCCTCTCTACATGGGCCCTGAATACATCAAGTACTTCAGTGATAAAACCATTGATGTGAGTATGAGTTCATATTAGCCAGTTTGCTTTAGAAACAAGTACTTTAGTCACACTTCATGAGCTGCTGGATTTCAAAACAAATTTGCACGGAATGGAAAAAGAAGGAGAAGAGCTGAACAATATGAATGAGAATGATTGGGGAGATGTATACTAGAAGAGCACCAGTGATGGGGTGTCTCATTGCATACTAATCGGCGCTGACTTAAAACATCAAAGGGAACTTGCTCGATTGTGCTTGGCTTAGTAACAGAAATTCAAAGGCCATAAATGCTCATTACTATTGCAGCCCAATGTTCTTTGTAAATAAGCCATTGGGTGTTTGAACCCAATGGTAATATACGCTCAAATTTCAGCCACATTCATAGTTGAACTTTAACTTCAACAGCCTGAGGGGAATATCGTATTCAAGTATATGTTTGAAACTGTTCAGTTTATGCTAGTGAGTGTAGATGATCACTTCTCTTTTGTCTTTAGGACGAGTTGGAGAAGGATAACAGAGTGACCTGGATCGTGGAGTTTTTTGCTAACTGGTCACCAGAGTGTCAGTCTTTCGCCTCCGTTTATGCTGATCTGTCCTTGAAGTAAGAACATTGCTCTTCACTATGGTTTAAAAGTTAAAAAAATTTATATTTGTATTCAGCAAAGACACATTCAATTGATCAAAAGTGACAGTAAAACATAATAATTTGACAAAATATTTCTGTTTCAAATAAATGCTGTTCTTTTGAACGTTCTATTCATCCAAGAATCCTGAAAAAACAAACAAACATTTAAAACAGTTTAATGTAATATTTTTCAACTAATGAAAAAAAAAAACATTAAGCAGCACAACTGTTTTCAACATTGATATCAATACAAAATGTATCTTGATCAGCACATCAGAATAATTTGACTGAAAATTAGAGTGATGGCTGCAGAAACCTCAGCTTTGCCATCACAGGAATAAATTACATTTTAAATTCTATTTAAATAGAAAACAGTTCATTTTACATTTTAAATTAAAAAATCTTACCGACCTCAATCTTTTGACTGATCGTGTACATCCGTCTGCTCAGCAGTTTCTGTGAATTTAAATATTCTGAATAGAAACAATTCACTTCTCTCTCACGCAGGTACAACTGTGCAGGGCTGAAATTTGGCAAAGTGGACATTGGTCGTTACAGCGAAGTATCCAAAAAGTATGTTGCTCTGCTGTGTCTCACTGTTTCTCTGAGCTAATTCCAACTGACTGTGACAATATGCAATGTTGTTTTTTTTCCTTCAGGTACAGGGTCAGCACCTCTCCTCTCTCAAAGCAGCTGCCCTCTCTGGTGCTCTTCCAGGGAGGAAAGGAAGTTATGAGGCGCCCTCAGGTGGACAAAAAAGGACGTGCAGTGTCTTGGACCTTCACAGAGGTGAGGCTTAAAGGGTTAGTTAAAGGTGGGGTAAGTGATTTCTGGTAGCCAATGTTGACATTTGAAATCACCAAAACAAACACACCCCTACCCC